AGGCACTTCCCGGGGTTATTCGACTTCAAATACCCATTCATCATGACATTCCACCCAACTAAATTCCTCCATTGGCATTGCATCAAACAACTGCCGTGCAACCACTAATTCACTGATACGAATCCAGATGCATATAGCTTCAGGTGGTGGTACCTTGCGTTTGCGCAGGAGTACTTAGCCGTTAAAATTAGTTAGAGTGGGAGTTAAGAGAAGTTTGCCCATTAGTCAGTTAGGTCCCTACTATTTTTAAGTTATAGTTTCCATAATTGCACATTCACCCCACACATTTAGATTAGTTAAGCACATTAAGTCCATCTGCGATTACTTCTTCTGGATAAAATCCGTACGAAATGAGCTAGGGCAATTAGGTTACCATACTATAAATTGTAATGTTTTCCTCTTCCCAGATATATGAAATATACCTATCTTATTTGCTGCTCCTATTTTCTGCATTTACATTTCCTTTTTCTTATTTATTTCTACTGTTTCATTGCTTTTTGCTTCTTTCTCTTCTAATTTCTGTAACTTAGTCGAGTTCATATCAGTGGTATCAGAGCAAATCTTGGCTCTGTGGGTATAATGACAACCAACATGGATGAGGTTATGGAAACTCTCAAGAAGATATCAACTGAGGTGTCGACTGTGGTAGCAAAACAAGCACAGTTGGAAGCTACCCAAGAGCAAACCTGCAGAAATCAGGAAGAAGCTTTGAGTGAAATGAGGGAGGTGCTCAATGAAGTCTTACACGATGGGAAAAGACCCGAGAGAGACAAGCTAACAGCTTATAGTGGAGGTGAGCTCTATTCCCCTAATGATAAGCCTTTTGACTTTGGGGACCTAGCTTCACCCAGCTCACAAAGGGGTACTAGCCCTGCTGTAGTGAACCCTAGCAGCAACCCTATTTCTGTTGCTCAAAGTAGAGTTGCCTATTTGCCAATGGCACCAGTTTCAACTCTCCCTTTGAACCCTAGTTCTTCTCAGTATAACTTTCCTGCTAGAGTAGTACCAACACAACCTGCACCTTTCCAAACATTCAGCTCTCAGTCACAGCTTCCTCCGCTTCCTAGAACAGCTATGATGTCATTCCCAACCATTCACAACCAAAATAGTTCGAGCAGGAGCTACCCACAGGCCCCCATTCAGAACCTAGGCTCACCTATGGCTATGCCACTACCCTATAACCCTTATAATCAGCACACTCAGTTTCCACCTGCCTATTGTGCCCAAACCACTCACATATCTCCTCCCTTGTACCACCAGGTACCTTACCTTCCTACACCACCCCCTTACCAGCCTGTTCCCTCAAATGGCCACCCACAGAATCCTCCCTACAATCCTACTACTGCCTTACCTAATATCCCTTTTGCCAAATATCACAAGGTTGAATTTCCTAAATTCAATGGTGATGACTTGAGGACTTGGTTGTATAAGGTGGAGCAATTTTTTGCTGATGAGGATGTCACAATTCAGCAGAAGATGAAATTGGTATCTATGCACTTTGAAGGGGATGCCTTACAGTGGCACTTGGGTTATATGAGAAGCAGAGGTCAACAACCTCTTCCCACTTGGGAAGAGTATCTGTGGGCACTTTGTGACAGCTTTGGAGCTGAGTACTCTGACCCTATGACTGAGCTCATGAATGTAAGTCACACAGGGTCAGTACAGGACTATCAGAGGGCCTTTGTTAGTGTGATCACCAGGATCAACTTAGCTACTGAGCATGCAATATTTTTGAATAACTTAAAACCTGAGCTTAGAGATGCTGTTAGAGTTGGGAACCCTTGTAGCTTGCCACAGGCTTATTACTTGGCTAGACTGCAGGAAGCAAGCTTTGCTGCCCAAAGTAAGGCCATCAAAGGGCAGACTGCAGCTCATCATTCCACTTTTAAGACAGTCTCAGGTTCCGGGCCCCATGGACTTTCTAAGGGAACCACAACTGCTAACAAGGGACCCATTACTGCCCAGTTTGACAACAATAGAAGAAGGAGGCTTACTCAGCTGAGATGGAGGAAAAGAGGGCTCAAGGAATGTGTTTTTTCTGTGATGAGAAATTTGTGCCAGGGCACAAATGCAAGGCCAAGAGATAGATTTATTCCTTGGAGATTGAGGAATCAGATTCAAGTAACTTTGAAGGAGCAGAACTTGAAGAGGGCATCATTGATCAAAAGTTGGAAGATGAAGAGACTATTGAAAGTTGTGAGATCTCTTTGGAAGCCTTGCAGGGCTCTAGAGGGTACAAAACCTTGAAGGTTCAGGGGTTCACTGAACATAAACCAATCCATATTCTCATTGATAGTGGCTCCACACATAACTTTATCAATGAGAAGGCTGCTCAAAGAATTGGATGCAAGATTTACCAGATTAACCCTCAAGATGTATCAGTGGCTGATGGGAGGGTTATACAATCAGTAAAAGGTAGTCAAGGGTTCAAATGATTGATGCAAGGTGTTATGTTCCAAGATGACTTTCTGGTACTCCCTATAGGAAGTTGTGATGTGGTACTGGGAATTCAGTGGTTGAGCAAACTGGGAGACATTCAAATCAATTTTGAGAAGCTATATATGAGGTTTGAATATCAGGGTAAGCAAATTGCCCTACAGGGCATCCAGCCCTCTTTTAAAACAGTAGATGCCAAGGCTTTCAACAACATCACTACTGGTGAAGCCCAAATTTTCATGATCAAGGTGTGCCCATCATCCTCATCCATTAAGGATCAACATAATGACAGTTTGAAGAAAGAATCAGCTCAAGTGCAGGCATTACTAGAGGAGTATCATGAACTGTTCCAAGAACCCAGGCAATTACCACCTTCAAGGGGAGTGTTTGACCATTACATTCCTCTAAAAGAGGACAGTCTGCCTGTGAATTCAAGACCCTACAGATACTCTCCTTTGCAGAAGGATGTGATAGAAAAGATGGTATCAGAAATGATGCATCAAGGCATAATTCAGTATAGTGCAAGCTCTTATGCCTCTCCTGTGGTGTTGGTGGGAAAGAAGGATAGCTCATAGAGACTATGTGTAGACTATAGGGCACTGAATAAGCTCACTATAAAAGACAAATTTCCTATTCCAATCATTAAAGAATTATTGGATGAGCTGGGGGGTTCCAGAATCTATTCTAAGATAGATTTGAGGGCAGGCTATCACCAAATAAGGATGGCACCTTCAGATGTCCAGAAAACAGCTTTCAAGACTCACTCAGTGCATTATGAATACCTAGTCATGCCCTTTGGTCTCACCAATGCCCCTTCTAGTTTCCAGAGTTTGATGAATCATATCTTCCAGGAACACCTTAGGAAGTTCATATTAGTATTTTTTGATGACATCCTGGTGTTCAGCAAGGATCTGCAAGAACATGTACACCATCTCAGAGTTACTTTTGATCTGCTGGTGCAACATCAACTATTTGCTAAAAGAAGCAAGTGTGTATTTGCAGCTGCAAGAGTTGAGTACCTGGGACATTACATCTCAGCAGAAGGAGTAGCCACTGATCCTAAGAAGATAGAAGCTGTGCAGATGTGGCCTGAACCAGCTAATCTCAAGCAGCTAAGGGGATTCCTAGGATTAGCAGGTTACTACGGAAGGTTCATCCAAGGATATGGGGTCCTTAGTAAGCCCCTCACTGACTTATTGAGAAAAGACAACTTTAAGTGGACTCCCAAGGCTACTGAGGCTTTCAACAGATTGAAAGAGGCCTTATCATCAGCACTAGTCCTCATATTGCCTGATTTCTCTATACCCTTTGTAGTAGAGACTGATGCATGCAGCATGGGCATAGGAGCTGTACTTATGCAAAAAGGGCAGCCTATAGCTTACCTAAGCAAAGGTTTATCTCCACAGCACCAGGCCTTATCAGTATATGACAAGGAATTGTTAGCCCTAGTCATGGCAGTGAACAAGTGTTCACAATATCTAACTGGCAGACCATTTACAGTCAAGACAGATCAAAAGGCTCTCAAATTTCTCTTGGAGCAAAAGCTGCACACAGGATCCCAATTGAAATGGATAACTAAACTCATTCAATATGACTTTGTGATTGAGTATAAAAAAGGGAAGGAAAACAAGGTGGCCGATGCCCTTTCTAGAATGCCAGTGGTAGAATTGGCATCCTTGACACTCTCCACCATCAAGACTGACTTGTTGGATCAAATAATTCAAACTTGGAAGCTAGATGATGAGCTTGTAGCCATTATGGCAGACCTCAAGAAGGAAGGTGGGGAATCAAAAGGGTACACATTGGTGCACAATCACTTAAGAAGGAATGGGAAGCTAGTGGTGGGACCTGATGAACAACTGAGAAGGATGATTCTGAAATTATGGCATGACTCTCCTTCTGGAGGTCATTCAGGCATAGATCATACTTACAGGAGGGTAGCTGCACTTTTCTATTGGAAGGGGATAAAGGATGATGTTCAGAGGTATGTCAAAGAATGTGACACATGCCAAAGACACAAGCATGAAACAGTCCCTTACCCTTGGCTCCTACAACCACTCAAAATACCCTCATTAGCATGGAGTAGCATTAGCATGGATTTTATTGAAGGACTGCCTAAGGCTAAAGGGAAAACAGTGATATGGGTGATAGTAGATAGACTAACCAAGTATGCCCACTTCATAGGGGTAGCCCACCCTTATACTGCTTCTGATATTGCTAAGCTCTTTATGGAGCATATGTTCAGGTTACATGGAATGCCTGAGGATATAGTGAGTGACAGGGATCCTATCTTCACTAGCAGGCTATGGCAAGAGTTGTTCTCCATGAGTGGGGTTACTCTCAGTACTTCTACAGCCTACCATCCACAGTCTGATGGATAAACAGAGGTGGTTAATAGATGTTTGGAAACCTACCTCAGGTGTTTTTGCTCAGATTCTCAAAAGGATTGGTCCTCCTATTTAGGAGCAGCTGAATGGTGGTATAACACTAACTATCACTCTTCAATACAAACCACCCCTTATGAGGCTCTCTATGGTCAGCCTCCACCATCTCACTTACCCTATATGGCAGGGGACTCAACCATGGAAGAAGTAGATAGGAGTCTGTTAACAAGAGAATTCAAGTATCAACTGCTGCAATATCATTTACAAAGGGCTCAACAAAGAATGGTTGATCAAGCTAATAAGCACAGGAGTGATAGGCAATTCAAGGAAGGGGATTGGGTCTACCTCAAGATACAACCTTATAGGCAAGTAACACTCTCAGGCACTCAGTTCTCCAAATTATCAGCAAAGTACTATGGCCCTTACCAGATTTTGCAAAAAGTGGGCACTGTGGCATATAAACTATCCATGCCCCCTCAGTTACTACTTCATCACACATTCCATGTCTCCCAACTTAAACCCTGCTATAAGCTACCTGAAACCATTTCATACCCACCCATAATTGACATATCCAGCCCTTACTGTCCTCAACCTCAGAAAATTCTTGATAGAAGAATAATTCAAAAGGGGAACAAAGCTGTCGCACAGGTGTTAGTTCAATAGGACAACGCAACATCAGATCAAGCATCTTGGGAAGATTACAACTCTCTTAAACTCAGGTTCCCTACATTCCTTCCTTGAGGACAAGGAAGATTTTAACGGGAGGGATCTGATATGAATCCAGATGCATATAGCTTCAGGTGGTGGTACCTTGCGTTTGCGCAGGAGTACTTAGCCGTTAAAATTAGTTAGAGTGGGAGTTAAGAGAAGTTTGCTCATTAGTCAGTTAGGTCCCTACTATTTTTAAGTTATAGTTTCCATAATTGCACATTCACCCCACACATTTAGATTAGTTAAGCACATTAAGTCCATCTGCTATTACTTCTTCTGGATAGAATCCGTATGAAATGAGCTAGGGCAATTAGGTTACCATACTATAAATTGTAATGTTTTCCTCTTCCCAGATATATGAAATATACCTATCTTATTTGCTGCTCCTATTTTCTGCATTTTCATTTCCTTTTTCTTCTTCATTTCTATGTTTCATTACCTTTTTGCTTCTTTCTCTTCTAATTTCTGTAACTTAGTCGAGTTCATATCATTCACCCACTCTTACATATCCACCATTCACAAAGCTGTTCCAAGACACAGCATCCCTCTGCGGCATTTCATCTAACACCTGTCTAGCAAGACCAACAACTATAACAATGAACCAAAGAATTCTGAACATGCAAAACTCGACCAACACCATTTTTCACTAATTGTCCATGACACTTCTGACCCAAATCCAAATTACCTCCTTAGCACAAGAACTCATGAGGGGCGGGAACGTAAAACTATTAGGCAAATTAAAGCAGTAAGGGCATTCAAAAGAAGAGCCGGGGAGATTGAAACCATTCTGAGTTACATAGGATTAGGTACAGATTTGTTCGGGTTCAATACTTCATATCCAATTCGAAATCCAGTAGTAGCTAAATTTGCATCCAAAAGCCGCATGCAACTACATTTGAATCCAGCAGCATTTGCGATACTGTGAAAAACAAAATCGAGAATACCAAACATTTAAGCCTTAGATTGAAGGTACGTAAATCTTAACTTAAGAAGGGTGGAGAATTTATAGTGTCCACAGAAGGAATATAAGAGGCTTGAAGTTTAATTAAGTTGTTTGATAACGAAGAGGTTTAATTAATAAATAGTACTGGTTCAGAGCCTCAGTCATGCACAAACCAAATTCGTTTGAAGAAGTTCACTTAATCATCAAGAATCTATTCAACTACTGTAAAATGCATTGAATTTCTTTCACCTTTTGATCGTCTAAAAACTTTAATGGTTTTGGTTATTTACTGCTTTAAAGTGTCACTATATTCACTTAAAAAAATAGAATGAGCTAAACTTCGTCGCTAACCTGTCGTTAAATTGTTCGTAGCCAACAAAATTTCTTGATAAGCTGTCACTAATTCGTAGCTAAATAGGATAAGCGTTGGATTTATCTATTTAGCTATAGAATTTATCCGTCGCTAATTCCTGTCTTTTTAGTATATAGTAAAGGGCAACCTGATGCACAAAGCATCCCGCGTTCACGCAGGGTTCGAGGAAGGGCCGCATCTCATGTAGACAACCTACACTGATGCAAGCATCAATGGTTGATTCCACGGCTCGAGACCGTGACCTATAGGTTACACGGACAGGGGCGAACATAAGTGGGGGTCATCCGACACCGCTTCGTCGGAAAAAAATAGTAAACATTTATACTAATATTCTGCAAAAACGAGACAATATATAGTAATGACAAGCTTCCTGGAAATGAATATTTCTTGATCCACTAGTCAAGCTCATATTTGGGTTTGTAAAGGTTGCATGTCCGAGTCTGGACGTAGACATTCTATTCTTTGAACATCTTTGAAGGAGCATTTTTGCTAAAAATTTGAGGCTAAGGAAAATTAAACATATATCTTCCTTTGCAATAATATTCAACTAAATCATCGGGGCCTTGTAGAAAAATAATGTTAAATAATACTTATTTTTATTTATTGAGAGAACTTCACTTTTAGCCGGTCGGAGAAAACAAATATCATCCAGTAGCCATAAATATTAGTCAGACAACTCATAACCCCAAACTAATTATACTGGCTAGCCCAAACTTACCGTATGCAGACTATTTTTACTTCTCTTTCTTTTTTTCGCGGTTCAAATTTTCCATAAGTGCACGATTTGTTAGGTACAGAAGAATTAGATAAGCAAATTAAAGAGTTGTAGTTGTTGGACGAGAGAAAGTGATTACTAACACCTAAGAATTGCCACGTACCAATTTGGACAACAAATGTACACAGTAGAGTGTGCCAACTGTACTGTCCCCAAAACAAATACCTATCAAACTAATAGGGCTACACACTGCAATATTGTGGTATCATGTATGACTTCTTCTACCCGGTATATGTAAGCTCAATATATTCTTATTTTTTTCCCCAGTTTCGAAGCTTGAAAGAGAAAAGAAGATCTTGAAATTAGCGGTCATGAAATAATATATATATATATATATATATATATATATATATCGGGGGACACTAAAGATACATTAGGATTTAGGGGTACACTGAAAAAATATAGGATACACTTTATATAAAATACTATAGAATCACCCACTGGTGTAGATACATATACAGGAATACTCAAGGCCTCACTAGGCATAACCAAGTAGGGTGCAAAATAGGACGACACATATGAATACGTAGATCAAGGATCAAATAGCACTGAGGCGTCCCTATAACGGACCAGAATAGTACCTGTAATAATAGCATTGGATGACTCAGCCTCTGGCCTGGCTGGCAAAGCATAACATCGGGGCTGGGCCCCACCTCCCTGAATCGCATCCCTGGGACGATCAGCTGCTGGCTGACCCCTACCTCTGGCGGTCTAAGCTCCACCTCTATGACATCTACCTCCACCTCTATGTCCTCTACCCCCGCCTATAGCTGGCTGGGCAGGCTGTGGAGCAACTGGTGCCTGAATCATAGGACGAGGACCCTGCTGCTGAGAACTACCCGAAGCTCGAGGGCAAAATCTAACAATATGACTCGGGTCACCACAACCATAACAAGCCCTCGGCTGCTGAGACTGCTGGACCTGTCAACCTGAATGTCCTCCCCTGAAGCTTTAAAGTGGTGGTGCACTGCTGGGAGCTGATGGTGCACTGAAAGACTGATGCTTAGAATAATATGGCTGAGAACCACTACCTCCGGGAGTACCATGAGAGACCTGGAGAGATGACTGAAAGGGCCTCGGAGGATGGCCTCTACCATAAGAATCTCTACCTCCAGACGAGGTACCACTGAATCTACCAGCATGACAAGGCCTCTTCTCAGACCCATGACCACCTCCCTGAGCAAGTGCCATCTTTATCCTGCGAGCCGCATTGGCCGCCTCCTGAAACGAAATCTCACTCCCGGCTCCCATAGCCATCTGAAGACGGATCGGCTGAATCAACCCATCAATAAATCTCCGCACCCTCTCTCTATCGGTGGGAAGTATCACAATAGCATGGCGAGCAAGATCAATAAACCTGGTCTCATACTGTGTGACTGTCATAGAGCCCTGCTGGAGATGCTCAAACTGCCTGCGAAGAGCTTCTTGTTGAGTAACTGGGAGAAACTTCTCCAAAAACAACTCTGCAAACTGATCCCATGTCAATGATGGCGACCCTAGTGGTCTGGCTAAGCAATAGTCTCTCCACCAAGCCTTGGCGGATCCTGCTAGACGAAAAGTGGCGAAGTCGACCCCATTGGTCTCCACAATACCCATAGTCCGAAGAACCTTATGGCAGCTAAATAAGAAATCCTGAGCATCCTCTGAAGAAGTGCCACTGTATGTGGTAGTGAAGAGCTTGGTGAATCGATCCAACCTCCACAGAGCATTGGCGGACATAGCCGCACCATCACTGGTCTAAGCCGCAATACCCGGCTGGACTACCACAGCTGGCTGAACTGCTGGAACCTCAGCCTGAGGAGCTGCTTGCTCCAGAGTACGTGTAGCGGGAGTTTGAACTCCTCCCCCAGCCTGAGATGTGGCTGGTGCTACTGGGAGCAAACCCGCTCGAGAGATGCTCTCTATAAAGCCTACCAATCGGACCAAAGCGTCCTGAAGCACTGGAGTGGCTATGAATCCCTCTGGGACCTGAGCTGGGCCCACCGGAGCTGCTGGAGCTGGAACCTCCTCATCATAGTCAACATGAGGCTCCACCTCTGGGACTGCTGCTCGGGGCTGAGCTCTGCCCCGGCCTCGGCCTCGCCCTCTGCCCCTGATAGGAGCTGCTGCTGGGGGCTCGAGCTGCTGCACGGTAGAAGAGGAAGCACGTGTTCTCGCTATCTGCAAAACAACAGAGTAGAAAGACAATTAGTACTTGAGAAACAGAATCGCACAACAAGAATGAATAAAGTGAAATTTTTCCTAACTCTGTAGCCTCTGGGGGATAAATACAGACGTCTCCGTACTGATCCCTCAGACTCTATCAAGCTTGTCCGTGAGTTGTGAGGCCTAAGTAACCTAGTGCTCTGATACCAACTTGTCACGACCTGGATTTCCCACCATCGGGAGTCGTGATGGCGCCTACTATTGAAACTAGGCAAGCCAAGTATTAAAACATTTTCTGATAACATTTCAACAATATAAGCAAAACGAGACATTTAAATAACAACAAAAGTCTTGAAACATAGATAACTGGAAAACAAATGTGGAAGTTTAAATACAATTCTACCCAGAACTGGTGTCACTACTCACGAACTACTAGAGAGTACTACAAACAAGGTCTGAATAAGAGATACACTGCTGATGTTCCGATACAAAAAGGAAACAAGCTAAGTACAATAGGAAAGGGACCCCGGCCTGCGGACGTCAGCTAGGCTACCTCGCAAGTCCCTATACTGAAGTCAGCTCCCGATCAATATTGCTGCTGAGGTCCAAAAGCTGCACCTGGATCTGTGCAAAAAGATGCACAAAGTGTAGCATCAGCACAACCGATCCCATGTGCTGGTAAGTGCCTGGCCTAACCCCGGCGAAGTAGTGACGAG